ATATATATATATATATTTCTCACTGAGGATATCTCTGCCATCTTAAGGGGATATATCAAACCAAAGCTTCATGCATATATAGTTGATGACATCTAACCACTGCATCAAAATAAAGTAGTTTTTGGCATTGGCAGTATAGGGTGAAGGAAAGGTGGAAATAGATATCTGAAATGGATTTACCTGCACCTACTTGCACAGAAAATGAGAAAGATACCTGTTAACTCCGCTGTGTTATTTAATGGTTTCTTGCAGACATAGGGCAGTTGAACTTCACAGGAAAAACTCTGCCATAGACCAGACCTGGCATCCATTCTTGCACAGCTTGATCCACCTATTATCATAGGTGCACTAGGCATGTCTTAAATGATTAGAAAGAGGAGGTTAGGGCCAGAGTGGTGGTTGGAACAGATAATTTGTATTCCTAATTTTCTGCTTTTATGGGAGCTCATAAAATAGTTAAAACCTTCTACTAAAGCCTCCACGGACACTCATGTGCTTAAATCTGTCTCCCTTCTAAAATACAGGATACAGGGTGAAACACTCTAATACACTATAGTTAATTCAAAAACCAAACCCAAAAACCAAAACCAAACCTCTATCCCTAATCAACATCCGTGTCTTACTCTATGGTCAGTAGCTATTAATCTGCTACTCTATACAATAGATATACTGATTTGTGATTCAGTAATGCCCTTAAGACCTTGAATTAAAGGTTAAATTATCTTTAAAGATTTTATTTACTGAGGTGATAGAGAATTTACTCACTGATAATGAAATTTCATTAAACTAAAATGACCTATTGGTATTGCACTTAACTCATTTTTCTTATGTGTGTATAGAATACGTTTATACTGAAGCTAGTGTCAACTTTTAGATTCTACACTTGTCAGAAGCTGAAATTTAATTTTTTTTTTAATTTTAGAGAGAGAGAGAGAGAGAGAGATAGAGAGAAAGACAGAAACTTAAGCAAGGCCCACGCTTAGTGTGGAGCCTGACATGGGGCTCGATTCCACAACCTTGGGATCATGACCTGAGTTGAAATCAAGAGTCAGTTGAGTGTCCTGTGTCCAAACCTTGTGTCAGGCTCTGTGCTGGGCATGGAGACTGCTTAAGATTCTCTCTCTCCTTCGCCCCTCCTCTGCTCATGCTTGCTCGTACTTTTTCTCTCTCAAAAAAGTTAATTAGAATAAAAAGGTATCTAACTTCTTTTAGGAAGAAAAATATTTTGGCTAACTAGGGTTTTGTTTGTTTTATTCACTATAAAATTTTCTTTAAGGTATTTACATATGCAATATAATATAACCATTAGGTTGTCAGTACTTGAGCACTACTACAGGAGACCCCAAGAGTTCTAAAATGAGAGAATATTTCTGTATGGGAGTTGAGCTGCAGGTGAAACACCATTGGTCAGTCATAGACATGTCAAGTTCCCTAAAGGATACAGAACAGCTGCCAGGCCGTGTGATGAGGCTCATTCTGCTGTTACCTAAAATTGTAGGGTTGCCATAACGTTACAGACAAATTCTCACTTCTCCATGGTATGGTTCAACTTGGCTATCATGGTATTACAATAAAGAAGGAATGAGGGGAAAAAATTGTTCTTAGAATTAACCATAATAACAGCTGCCAAGATTTGAAATTTTTATAAGCTCTCAGTGAGTGGGATGCTTTTGTTTATTTACTTTTTTGAAGATTTTGCTCTGTGCATAATAGATGGAAGAAGGAGCAGTTACCTGGGTCCCAGTTGAGAAAGTTTAATGGCTTGTGGTCTGACCATTCCCAGCCTCTAGCAGAATATAGTTGATTTAAGCCAATCCAGAAAATTCTTGGAATGCCCTCTTTTTCTGTAAGAATCACATAATTTTAACAAGTGACAAAATTACCTAAATTATTACCTAAGTCAGACTTAAGCTTCTACTAATAGCAAAATTATCTGAAGGCCTTGATTGTGAGGCAGGAATCCTGCAGGAGGCTGTTTATCCAACAAAGGCAGGTGATGCGTTAAGTCAATTCTGCTTTCCCATTAGCTTGTCCCTGTCTACTAAGGTAAGGACAGAATCTTCTCAGAACAGATGTTCCACTATTTTTAGCCCTCTTGTACTAATACAGAAGAAAACAATTTCCACTATATATCTCAGTTTTGAAGAACTGATTGTATTCCAGACTGACAGTGTAAATTCATTAAGCACATATTGTTTAACTGGTACTAAGAATATAAAAACCAAAAATACAAAGTCCCTGCCTCTCTGAGGATTTCAATTTAGTAGACAGGAAGAGATATGGATCCCTCAAAAGGTAAAGTGTTACCCATACTGTTTCAGAAATATGTAGAGGAACTGTTTGGTAGGCAATGGAATATGTAGTTCTAGAGTCCAAAGGAGACATTTAGGATGAAGACACAGAACAGGACACACACACACACACACACACACACACACACACACAC